GGAGCCCCGGGCCCGCCATGGGCCGCCCCGAGCGGGGCGCGCTCCGGCCGCTAGCGATGCTGTTGCTGCTGCTGCGGCTCCAGCATCTCTCGGCGGCAGCGGCGGCGGCGGATCTGCTGCGCGGCGGCCAAGGTGCGTGCGGCGGGTCCCGGCTCTGCGCCGCCTAAACCTCCAACAAAGCGCGGCCAGGCGGGCAGGGGGAGGGGGAGAGCTGCGGCGAAGACCCCGAACCTGGGGCTGGCAGGGGACGGGGTGGGGACAGGCTTTTCACCACCTGACTATTTAATTTGCTCTCGACATTATGTACCCCCACTTCCGCACACTGTTCCCCAGGGTTGAGAATTCTGCCCTCCAGGCACTGCTCTTGGGGGACAGGCGCAGCTGGGCCTGGCCGAGAACTTTGGGGGCGGGGATCATCTATGCCTTCAAGGGGGCTGTGTTGGGGTTTAATAAGCGCGCTCCATCGCCACGATGAGCCGAGCCCGGCAGCTTCCCCGCTGACAATGCGTTTCCGGGGACCCCAGAGCTCAAGTGAAGGGGAGTGTGCTCAGGGCAGCCAGTGCTGGTGTCACGGTGAGTGTGGGTCCTCTTTGTGGTCCCTGTTAGCATGATTTCTGTGGGCCTTAGATGTGAGCAAATGTAAATGGAAGGTAAACCCCAGGAGTGTGGCACCCGACTGTAACTGTGTGCCCGGCCCCACAGTGCCCCTCCCAGCCAGCCTCCTCTCCCCGCGGCTCCAGGGTGTTGGAGGCTTCCCCAGGTTGTTTGCCGCAGCATCACCCACCCCTTTGCTCCACCGCCCTTGCAGACCCTCCTCTAAGGCTCGGGCTGCACGATGGAGAGCGCGTACCGAGCCAGTGGACCCGCCTCACGCCCTGTTCTCCCTGGTCCTTCGCACAGGGCCAGTCAAAGAGTGCGAGGAGGACCAGTTCCGGTGCCGGAACGAGCGCTGCATCCCTTCTGTGTGGAGATGCGACGAAGACGACGATTGTTCGGACAACAGTGACGAGGACGACTGCCGTGAGTGGCCGGTCGGGGCGCGCGGGCTCGGGGAGGGAGGAGGGCGAGAAGCGTGCGTGGGGAGCGCCATGCTTAGCGCACACGTGGATGCAGCCACCGCAGGGCCACTGACGCCTGGGTCCGAAGTCACCTGGGGGCCACCTCCTTCGGGGCCTGGTGACTCTTAGTGACCAAATAAGAGCAAGGGGCCCGGCGAGACCGAGTGAGGCTGTGAGTGGAACCGGAGCTGTGTACAGCGAAGAGGGCGGGCTGTGTCCAGACTGCAGGGCCGCAACTGCGGGCGGGTACGCAGCCGTCTTCTTCTCCATAAAACCAGCCTCTGGCGCTTGCACCTTCGTGGACTCCCACCTTGGCCCCACGGGGCGCGCACGTGTTTTGAAGTTCCACGCGGAAGCTTGCGGCCGCGCCACGATTCCTTTCCAGGCTTGGTTTTTCTGAATGAATGGGTTCCCCAGGGGCCCCTGATTGGTTAGGCGAGGACCACCCCATGGCCCCCAGTGGCCTAAATGGCCAATCGTGGTGCGGCCTGTATGTAAGATTCGGGCACCCAGGGCGTTGGGGGCCTGCCCTCGCCCCGCCCCGGCCACACCTCCGCGCTCTTCCCGGGGGCAGTAGGTGTGGGCGGGGCCGGAACGCCGGCGACCGTTGCTTTTATGCCGAGTCATCATGAAGACATTTTTTTGTGCCATCCTGTTGAGTAGGACTGTGCTCTTCTGCCTGTCCCGCGCTGGTGTAAATCGTAGGGTTGACCAGGAAGCGGAGAGCTAGAAGGAAGAGTTTATGTCCTGGAAGGGGCTGGAGGAGCCCGAGGCTTTACAAGAACCAGCTGCATTGGGGAGGTGGCAGACTGCCTTGGCTGAGTACCTGGGGGTAACTTTTGATGTTCCCTCGCGGTTGTGTGCATGGTTTCCGATGACTGTAACCCAAGTGGCTTAGTAGATAGTTACGACAGTGGAAGGATCGTGGTTCTGAAACAGATAAACAGGGCTTTTCAAACACCTGCCGTGTGAACAGTCCCACCTCTCTGGCCAGCACCCCATAGCTCTTTCAACCAGGCGGGGTGTGGAGATACCTGGACAAGGCACCCGTTACTCGTAAGTTCATTCCTGCCCATTCAAGCCCCATTCCCTCCCCAAGGGTGAATTTAAGTCATATGACTTAGTAGGATGGAGTTAATGCTGCCAACCCAAATGCAGTGGCTGGAATATACCAGCTGCTCTGCGGGAGAAAGATGGGAAGTATGCTGTTGTGGTTATGTGCCATCGAGTCGCCTGAGACTCATAGCAGCCCTATGTATGTACAACAGCGCTGACGCCTGCCCTGTTCTGAGTCAGTCTTACTGACTCCAGCACACCTACATTGTCCTAGTTACTATATCAATCCATCTCATCCAGGGTCTTCCTCTCCTGGCTGTCCCTCTACCCTTCTGAGCATGATGTCTTTCTCCAAGTATCAGTCCCTCCTGGCCATGTGCCCAAAAGTATGTGAGATGGAACTTCAAAATGCTAGCCTCCTAGGAGAAACTTGGTTTCACCCTCTCTAAGACAGATCTATTTGTTTTCTTGGTGGTCCATGGTATGTTCAAGACTCTTTTCTAGCACCACAACTCAAAGGCATCAATTCTTCCGTCACACTTAGTCATTGTCCAGCTCTCTGATGCATAGACGAGTAATTGCCCGGAAAACTCATTGGAGGGTCAGCTGTGGATCGGTTCTGACTCTCCAGTACTTAACAACAGTCAGAATAATGAGACCAACAAGTGTTGACTGTTCACTTGCTACATATTATGGGAAGTGCTTATTTTCATATTAGCTCCTTTGATTTTCAAAGTAGCCCTGTTGTATAGATTGAAAAACTGAAACATTAAGAGATTACCATTCCAATTAACGGAACAACTGGTTGGAAAGTGGAAAGGCACCTGACTTTCTTAATCTTGTCATGAACCTGGCTGTTTCCTCATCATTGCCACTGAAGAAAGCTATGGACAATGGTTATGCCTATATAAAATATAACTTGGAGCTGTTTGCCTTTGGCCCCTTGATGATGGGAGAGTCTCAGTCTCTCTCTCTCACCCCCCACCCCGTGAAGTTAGAACTGACTCATTATGAATCCAACCTACTCATAGCAGGTTTCAGAGGCTATAAATTGAACAGAAGGAGACTCTTTTTTTTTTTCCTGTGGAAATGGTGGTTGTTTTGAATCACCAGAAAGGCTTGGTCTTTGTATTGGCAGCACAGCTCTCCAGAACTAGGCCATCAGATCTTGGGGAAGTATGTTATTGTTATATTGTTAGATCCCAGATGACTCATAGCACCCTTTGTGTGTGTGTGTGTGTGTGTGTGTGTGTGTGTGTGTACCGTCAAATCAAATCTGACTGGTACAGGAGGAGATTGTCCCTCCTTTCCCAGCAGAGCATCTGGTGGATTCGAACCGTGCACCTCTGGGAATGTAGTTGCAGCTCCTTTCCACTAGGCCACCAGAGCTCCCCTTCATAGCACCCTTTTGAACAACAGATTTCAACTTTGTCCTGTCCTGTGCCGTCCTCATAATCTGCGACATGCTTGAGCCCATTATTACAGTCCCTGTGTCAGCCCTCTACCTTTCTTAGCTTACTGTCTTTTTCTCCAAGGACTGGCCGCTCTTCATAACAAGCCAAATTATGTGAGATAAAGTTTCACCATCCTTACCTTTAAGGATCATGCTAGTTGCACTTTCTCCAAGACAGGCTAATTTATTCTTTTGATAGTCAGAATGATATTAAGTATTCCCCAACACCACATTTCAAAGGCATCAATGATTCTTCCATCATCTTTATTCATTGTCCAACTTTCAGATGAATAGGAAGCAATTAAAAAGACCATGTCTTGGATCAGGCACCTGAAAAACCCCAATTAACCCAGCACAATTGAGTTGATAGCATTTTATTACTCCATAGAGTCAGGAAGTGTGAGGATGGCACAGGATAGAACAGTATGAGTTTTACTAGACTCAATGGCAGCTAACAACAACAACTCCATGGAATAATCTTATGCTTTAAAGATGGGCACTTTTTTTAACAAGAGGACATTGCCCTTCTTTCTTTCGAGGAGCAGCTAGTGGATTCAAACTGCTAACCTTCTGCATAGCAGTTCAACCTGTGCTCTATGCCACCAGAGATCCTTACAGAGAATGAGGCAGGGGAACTAAGAAACTGTGCTCTTGGGCTGGCTTTACACCTTATTTCCTTGGGTCTTTCTATCAACAGTCTTATGAAGGTGGCTGTGAAGAGGAGAAGCTTTTGTTGCCATCCCATTTTATAGATAAGGATGCTGGCTGAGAAAAGTTGAATGAGTTGGTCCAAGGTCACACAGCTTAGAATAGCAGAATAGCAGGCTTGGTCAGGGTCTTGTGCCTGCTTCCTGCATGCAAGCGCCTTGAGTGTGCTGAGGCTAGGATCTGTGTGGGAGGATCCAGAGGCTGAAACGTTGCTTCCCCCAGTGCTGAACCAGCTGCCTTTCATTCTCTCATGAGGTCTTGGGCAAGCTGCAGGAGTGAAGGGGTGGGTGGTTGAGGTGACCCAGGTGGGATCTTACACGTGCCAATGGCCTCTCTGGGCTTCTGCTTTGCTTTTGAGGTAGACAGGGTGGAATCACAGAGAAGGATGCCGAGTACTTGGAGTGGAAAAAGGAAAGGGCTTTGATGTTAGTTGCCATCAAATTGACTTTGACTCAGTTTGGTGACCACATATGTGCAGAGTGGAATGTTATTGTTGTTATTAGATGCTGTTGAATCCTCTATTACTCATAGCAATCCTGTGTGCCACACGTCTGGACTTTGCTCTACCCTGCACCGTCCTGGCATGCTCAAGACCACTATAGTCACTTTATCAGCCCAGATCATTGAGGACCTTTGCTAGCCCTCTGCCTTTCTCTCTCCAAGGACTGGTTTTTCCTAAAAATATAGCCCAAGGGAGGTGAAGTTTCATCATCCCTGCCCCAAAGGAGCATTAAGCTTACGTCCCCAAGCGTCTCTGGGCAGGTTAGAACCACCAACCACAGGTACCCAAGTGCTTAACTGTTTGTACCAACCAAGGACTTCTTTGCTGATAGTACTGAGAATAAGTTGCAAACCACTTCACTTTTCTGAGTTTTTGTTTCCTCATCTGGCCAGATGGGAGTAGCTTTCCCGTCACCATAGGCTGTATCTGTAGAAAGTCTTCAATCAGGGCTGGTGAAGAGGAGGACATTGAATTTGATTAACTCACACCTCTGTGGTCTTAGAGACTCCTAATAGCCTCAGAAGGAAATCTTAAAGTGGCAATGGGTGACTGGATTGAGGCCAGGCATGCAAAGATGTTTTTCCTCCCCCCTTCCCTCCTTTCCATTCATGCTGGGGACCTCCCTCATTCTGGGCCACCTTCTTGGAATTTCTTTTAACTGCTCTGGTGGCTTAGTGGTAAGAAATTGCCTTGCCAACCTAAAAGCTTGTAGTTCAGATCCACCACCAACTCCTTGGAAGAAAGATAGGCAGTCTCTTCACATGTGAAATACTGCCTCTAAAGACCCCTTAAGGGGGCAGTCAGGTAGGAGTTCCTTCCACTTGACGGTACATAACAACAACAACCTGTTAAAGCTATTGATTCCCGTTTGCTTCACACCATTCCACTCCTTTCAGCATCCCACCCCCTCCTACTTCTGTCCTCGCCTTGATACTCCTGCCCCATTGGAAAAGATCTGAATCACCCCAGGTCTATACCCCTAGGGAACTGAAAAAATGGCTAATATAATTTATAAGTGAGATCTGAGTGAGGCAAAAATGAGTTATGCTCTCAAAGGGACCATGATAGAGCTGATAAATATGGACAGATGATGAAGGCTGGAGGAAGGGACCTTTCAAGTTGAATCCAAGGAAGACTTCCTGGAAGAGGAGGCTGCTGAGCAAGGTCTTGAAAGATGATAATACCATTCTTTCAAAGCTTGCCATTTAAAAATAGGTGGCATGTTGTTACTGTCAGTAACTCA